TTCCAACAATCGACGACGAGGAGGGGAACGACTCTCCGTTCAGGGTGGTGATTCCTAGGAGGCTACGGAGGCGGTTTATCGGATACTTCCACGACTCGGCTTTGGCTGGTCATGGCAGCGGCAGCAAGACTTTTCAAAAGTTATGTCGCGTCGCGACCTGGCCGGGGATGAGACAGGACACACTCCGATACGCCCGTAGCTGCCCAGCCTGCCAGAAAGCGAAGCCGCGAGGGGGAAAGCCCCCAGGCCTGATGCAGCCTGTAGTGAGTCACTACCCGTGGGAGATGGTTGCTTGCGACATCATCGGCCCACTTCCAAAAAGTCCCCGTGGGAACCAGTATTTATTGGTAATAACCGATCATTTCTCAAAATGGGTGGAGTTACACCCGCTGTGGAAGCTGGTCTCGGAGCGCATCTGGGAGAAGTTGTTGGAAACTTTCATGCGCTTCGGTACACCCACGTGTCTCATCAGCGATAATGCTAGCTATTTTACCAGCAGAGTGTTCACTGACTCCTGCTTGGCGCTAAACATAAAGCACAAAAGGACGACACCATACCACCCTCGGACTAATATCACTGAGAGAGTGACCCGAAACTTGAAGAGCATGCTGATCACACTAACGGAGAGACACAGGGACTGGGACGAACGCATTGTCGAGATGGGTTTTGCAATCCGGACGACCGCGAACAGTGCGCGAACCCGTCGGTGAGAGATCTGATAGGGGCTCTGCGCGGCGCTATCATCTGCGGCCTAGAACTTGATCTAATCTCTGCAAGATGTTAATAGAGCTTGTTCTGTCCAGAAATGCCCCCCCGGAGGAACCAGAATGGGCGGCGCCATCCAGGAGGGCGACCTTCCACTTCCCGGGGTACCGGCGGAACCAGCCAGACCAGCCGACCGGGTGGCCAACCCGCTCGGCAGGAGACCGGCCACACCAGCCGACAGGGTGGTCAACCCCGTTGGCGGGAGGACGGCCAGACCAACCGACAGGGTGGTCAACCCGGTTGGCGAAGAACAAGGGGGACCAACCAACAGGGTGCTCAACCCGGTTGGCAGAGGCGGGGTGATCAACCCTGGCCTCGATCACATCAACAGAGGCAGGGCGGCGGAGATGCGGAGCACCGGAGAGCCTCGAGTGACCAGGCGGGCAGACGAGACTCCACCCCACGAGGAGAAGCGGTTTCGACGGCGGCTGGAGAACCAGCTCGGCGGAAGCCACCTCGCCACACCATGGCCACCTGGACGGCCCAGGACGGCCAAGAGGCCGTCCACTTCGTGTCCAGGGTGCGATGGAGGAACCAGCCCCGTCCAAACCCTTCCCAGCTGCCCGCCCAGATCCAGCAGCCCTTCCGAGGGCATACGCTGCCCAGTTTTTCGCTACCCGACGACCACCCAGACGCCTGCTGGCTGTGCCAAGTCCCGGTGGTCCACCAGGACACACACGAGGCCAGCCGCCGACACACTGACCTCCTGAAAAACATGGGCCGCCCCGCCGGCGTCGCAGCAGCAGTACAACTGCTTCGCCGGGATCGGCCAGACCTTCTAGCTCCGGCGGCTCTCGGCTTCAGCCAAGCTACTGGAAGCCGGAGTCCTGCCCCCGACCAACTGCTCGTTGACGGGTTCGTCGCCGAAAACCCGGCGCTCGGCCCCTTCCCCAAGCACACACCGGCCCCACCAGTGCCGGCCCCCCGTTCGACAACTGCGGCCCCATCCGCGTCCACCAACACCAGCGACGCGGAGATGAATGAGCTGGAGGAGTACTTGGCCAACAATCCAGCGACCCCTTATGCTACCGACGGGCCAGATTCTTTCGTCGACGGAGCCGCCGCCGAAGACCCGGCACTTGGCCTCTTCCTCGAACACGCACCAGTCCCACCGGTGCCGGCACCCCGTTCAACGGCTGCGGCACCATCCGCGTCCACCACCACCAGCGACGCGGAGATGGGCGAGCTGGAAGAGTGCTTGGCGGACGATCCATCGACTTAGGATGCTTCGGAACCCCCGGAGTTGGAGGCTTGAGGGGAGGGGAGTGTGGGGAACAATGAGCCTCACGGCACGCGGAAGGGCGGCGCCGAGAGCGGGGAAGAAGAAGAAAGGAGAGGCTCGTGGTCGGTGCGAGGCTGAGGTTCGAAGGACGGTGGGCCAACAGGACAGACGGTGCTGAGGAGCCTACAAAGAGCCGGACTTCACGAGCCAAGCAAGCACCCGGACCTCAGCGAGCCCAGGAAAGACCCGGACAACACCGAGCACATGAGTATCAATTAAACCTTGCTTAATGATAGCGCTCTCTCGTGTGACTTCCTTGGGGCGAATGGAACTCGGCCTGATCGGGCGATATTGATAGGCGACCCACAATATATATATAAAAGCAAAACTCTCAAAGTTGTATTATCTAACTAGTAAATTACACTTGGTGACCGCTACCCAGAACAGGAGGAGCTTAAGAATTAAAATCAGGAGATAGGTGGATAAAACACAAATAAAAAAAAGACCTACAAAGTTTACGCGAAACGGAGTATATATAAGCAGAATGATTAGCATGCATTAACCACGCCATTTTAACACATTTGTTAAAACACAACCTATTGATAAAGATTTTGAACCACACCAAAGAAATTTATCCTCACGGAATAGCACTCGGCGACTTCAGAACATCGCACTTGACACACAGAGAGTGAGCAAGTTAAAAGTTAATACCAATGTTTGAATCCTAACATGAGGTTAAAAACTGCTGTATCTCTCGCCCCGCGCCGAGTCTACGTTCCTTGTAAACTTAATTGAGAAATGATGTATGATACCTTATTTGCATATCAGTGCTTAGAAAAAAAAAAATAGGGAGTAGTGCTCCGAGCTTCGAGCCACTGAACACTTTTACCCAGTTACGCCAGAGCTTCATCGTTCTTACAGAATTCGAAAAGGAAAGATCTGAAAACTAAAAAATAGGCTCACAGCTATTTTAGCCTTATAAGTTTTTAAGCTTACAATGTTTTTGAAGGCCTCATATATGCATACCTAATTTATTACATTGTGTTATGTCCCCCCTTAAAGGAATTTAAATAGCTGTTTTAATTACCTCTTTGGCAAATATTACTTGTAGTGCACGGTCACAGGGGACACAGACGTTCCTCCTACCAATATTTGAGTCCATGCACCTAACAGGAAGCCTTATGGCCGTTTTAGGGCACCTGAAAATAAAGAACGTCATTATATTATCACAATATTACGACTTGGAAATTACATTTATTTTTGCCATTTATTCCTTCTTGCCTTCAGAGCCCATGAACAAAAGACAAGACAAGGGCGATATGCATGCGTGGTCCATTATAATATAAACTGCAAGTGACACTTGCCCAGCTAAGCTTCCGAGGCCTAGAAGGCAGAGTAGAAAAATCGTTACTCACAGAGTATCTGTTCACTCAATAATAATGTTGAGATTTGGGGTGATCAATTTCGATCGATAATAGTACTACAGGCAGGAAGAGCTTAACAAACATAAGGCGTGACAAGTGTCGAACATCTGATGACCACTCCGCTGCCAATGCATTTCTGTCATGACGCAATAAGAACGTCTGAACACGAATGACCTAACAAGAAGCTTAAAAATAATAACCTACACGCCCCGCTTTCCTCAAGCTGTCCTCGATTATAAGCATGGTACATTTCAACTTCGTTTAATTGTGTAATGCTAGCTTATTTTCACAGTACTTTTAGATGAGAATCAGAAGGCGGTAGATCGGCTGTTTTATGATAATGCTCTCGCTAACAATAATTACACATGGTGAAAGGTAGCCGATAGAAATACGCACGGCGTCCCGGGTGAAAGCTGCAGAGTATCTGTAGGATGAGCAGAGACATAGGATGTCTTGAAAGATCCACTGAAAAAAATGGCGGGGTGCGCCGTTGCACAGCGTGGGTCCAGTGGATTAGCTCACGTTATATAAACTACAAAAATCAACTTATCATCCTACCGCAGTGTAATTTAACGTGAACATAAACCAAGGTGGTGAATTTCCCTGACAAATCTATTAGGAAAACACTTCCTTCAATCAAAAGTGAACAATATAACTCTTTTTTTTTTTATGGTGCAGAGCAAGCCAATGCAGAGGAAACCTTTTTTAGATGAAGACTAAAAAGGCGTTTCGGATGAAAGGGGCATTTTATTGCGCAAAGCAGAACACAATAGTAGAGAAAAAATTCGCTGAATGCATGGGTCACTGTTTGAAGTGGCATGCAAAGTCAAAATTAGTTTCTTCACGTTATGTTTAGTTTTGTAAAATTAAACGTGTCAAAAGGCCCACAGCAACTTCTTTTACATTAGCACAAAACTTGCGTACCTCCATGTCGGTTCGTGGACAAAATATGTATTTTTATATTTAACTTTTTATTTAGGCTAGTTTCTTTTTCGATATCTTTAAAAAACGTATCCATCGCCTTGCTGCATATTAATGAAATTATAATGTCAGAATAAACGAAATTTATTTTTTTAAGTTTATGTAAAGCACTCAGTATCATCTGACCCTCATTGTGCTTAAAATGTTGTGCATTGTGTGCTTTTAATAAGTCAGGATCCGATGAAAGTAAGTGCTAAAAACAAAGGCTAGCATCGCCAAAATATTAGGATCTAGAGGGAAAGCGGACGCCACGAGAAAATTGTGGTTGGCTTACACTCCCGTAGCGCAGTTCCTCCAGGGCAGCAAAAATGTATCGCCCGAGATTTATTCCGCCGGTATTTGTTAAACATTATCATCTCTTTCGAGAATGCATGTGTACAATATAGTGACCATGATCACATGTATGAATACTACTACGTTTTGCATGAACCTTACGGCATTCCCCGTTCATTGTGTTTTTGAATTTTGTGCCTGTGCATAGCTGAATCGTTTAAGGGCGCTAGGGAGCTCTCTGTTGACAGCTTCAATACATGCCACCGCATGTATAGATGTTGATTGCTTTAATTGTACAGATTCTAACTTTTGTATGTTATGTTCAACAACTATAGTACTTGTAACAACGGTACGATGCCTCCTGGCGGTGAGGAACCGGTAACACGTGAGTATGCGCATCCCTCTTACAATATGCAAGATAGGTTGACAAAAATATGCACCTGTGTATAAACATCGTCCAACAAAAATCCCGGTCTAGTCTTTGATAAAGCGCTTTCTTCGACCGAATATTCCTGCGCCTTTATTAGCTTCAATACTTTTAAAAACAATATCTCCCACGACTTGCGACGTCGGGAGCACCGTTAACTTAAATTGAACAAAAAATATATAATCTCTCGCCAAAATACAGATTATGTTCTTGCAGTTGCATGTCGCTAGTTAATACACATTATATAACATCAGTGAAAAGAAACAAGCATTTTGATTTAGATAAAGCAACTTAATGTCTAACGCTGCATATTGCAAAGCAATGCAAATTATGTTTTATTTTGTACAATACAGACATAACTTTATATTTAAATCGTGCAAGGTAACGTATGCGTGCTTTAATTGAACTGCCCTTTCGAAAAAAAAAAACGTGAGTTAAACGACAGGATGTAACAGTAAGAAAGCACAAAACAAACAGAGGGACAAAAACAGACATGTCCCTCTGTTTGTTTTGTGCTTTCTTACTGTTACATCTGTCCCAACACGCTCGTCAAAGTCTTCAAACGACAGGATGTTTCCAAAAATATTCAAGCTATGTTCCATAGGCCCTACTCAATTGGTAACAGTACAGTGATAATAAAGCAAACGCACCCTTTCTATCGAGGGCCTTTGTTTGATTTGTTGGGATTTTAGTGCTCTTAGGCAATGCCACCTAGACGACGAAGTGTGCGCATTACGTCATCGTTAGTGGATCCCCGAAGCGCACCCAAGCGGCACACACAGCGAAACTCGACGAGAGTAGCCGCAAAATGGCGTCACTGTAGTGTCAAGTTTGCTGTGAGACCCTGCAAGCCGCGCTGACTGCGACGCTGGCGTGAACTATAATCACTGACAGAGTGAGAGCGGCAAGGCGTGTCTTTCGAACGCCCGGCCTCCGACGCGCGTTCCATGTCATCCGCCGTGCTTTGTCTGCGCGGCACGCTCGAGGGGCACGAGACGCGGAAGCGTTGTCGAAGGTTACAAGCTCGCTCTGGAGGCGGGGCAACTAGATGAAGCTTCTCTCTGCCGTTTTCACCTTGTCAATGAGTATAGGCGGCGCTGCGTGGATCCAGAGGTGATGATGTTTCGGAAGATATGAAGCAGGTCTTGTTTTATGGACGGTTTCAGGCGCCCATAAAATGCATTGGCGCCGCCATAGCCGACATTGAGTTTTTGTTACCTCTTATTCTGTTCGCTTCACTTTGCCATTACAACAGCTGGACAGGTTATAGCCTCTTTAGGTGCTGCTGTGTTCTTCACCCTAGCATAAGCCTTCGTGGAGGCTTGTCAATGCCCGCTTCAGTGGGTTAGCATCTCGGTAATACAAGGCAAAGTCGGCAATGGTGGCTCAATCTAGTGCGTGATTAAAGTGTCTATATGTAATATTGGCTGCGGGCAAGCATTACAAAAGGGAAAGGCTATGAAAACACAGACCAGCACGTTAGTTATTATTTATCGTTGCTTTTTTATGCAGCCGTTTACTTAAGTACCAAACAGCGCTGTGTTTTACAAAGCAGTGAATGTCGACCTCTTTTATTTTATTTTTTATTTAGCGGCTTTTGGCGTGTTTTTGATACAAATAAATACTCATCGTCTAACAGCCCCTCAAGAAAAACCCACCGACAGTCCAGACCATACAGAAGGTCCGCTACCGCCTGTTACGGCAGCGCCACCCGAAGAAACTCCCACCCCAGGACCACCTGCACCGGAAACACCTACACCACAACCACCTGCACCTACACCACCTACACCACAACCAACTGCACCGGAACCACCTTCTGTATCACCATCAGAACCAGGAGAGAAGCCCACTCCACCGCCAGAGCCAAGTACAACTACCGGGGTGCCAGATTACTGCTAAAAGGAGTCGAGCGCTAGCCTTGTGCTCTTCAGAGGCGCGAAATTTAATAAAGCGGAGTTGGGATGGCCGCGTTTGGTTTTATAATAAATGCGTGTTTACTTTATTCTGGAGCTATTTTATTCACACCTGATATTTGAATAAGTCTCACTGTTTGTCGACGTTTAGCGCACTAAAAAAACTGTCATTCAAGCATTCACACACCCAAAGAACACTCCTTTCACACAGCGCTCACTAACAACTTTGTATTTCGTCTTTTACTTCGGCTTCTACTTCTTCAGATTTTTGATGATTTGCAAATAGAAAAAGACCACATAAGAGTAAAAATTCCTGCCTAACGCTTCGGCTAATTCGCGGCTAAATAATTAATCTCTTTTTGTGATAATGTTATCGACGGCGTACTAACACATTTGTCCTCTAGTCGTATGATATTGTTGGCTTCGATGATTTCCCTTCTTAATTGGTTAACACTTTTGCCCAACACGGTGCTGTTGTTGAAGTGCGCGACACACCCACAATCCCGACAGTGTATCCCCAAGTGGCCAGAGTTAGCGTTTACAATGTCGTTGGAGTGTTCTCGAAGGCGGTCATTTAAACATCGCCCAGTTTGTCCAACGTATTGTCTTCCACAGGAAAGAGGGAATGAATAAACAACCCCCTCGACGCAAGGCACAAAGTTGGTCCTATGCTTCTTGGAGCAGCAGATTGCGGGATTTGAGGGTGTGGTGACGTTCTTGCAAAGGCTGGACAGTTTGGTGGGTGCTGAAAACACGATGTCAACATTGACTCTGTTCGGTGTTTTCTTGAGGCCGTGGGAAAAATTGTGGATGTAAGGGACGATGACTGGTCTTCTTGTCCTGTCTCTGTGTGTTTGTTTGACACAGGTCGTTTGCTTCATTTCTTTAAGAAGAGTTTCGACCACTGACACCAATAAGAACACAGGGTACCCTGCTGCCTTCAGTCTTGCAATTTGCCCGTCGAAACTCTTTTGTATGGAATGCGAGCACGACTTTGCGATTGAGCTCTTAAGGCATGACCGCACTATGCCTCTTTTCACGAGTTTTGAGTGCGCGGAGTTGAAAGGGAGTAGTGGTTTTTTTACCCCTGAATCTGAAGAAGTAGAAGCCGAAGTAAAAGACGAAATACAAAGTTGTTAGTGAGCGCTGTGTGAAAAAAAAAATTGGGTTGTGTGTGTGTTTATACAGCCTAGAACTTGGTCTGCCTCACAGGGGCGACGAGTCTCCCAGCTGTAGATGAGCAATTTAGCCAGTGCGGTACAGCCGCTAGCCTGGGGGCTTTAACGTGCACCACGCAGTAGTGGTACACGACCGCACGCCGGTACGATGCTCATCCAGATCGAAACGGGCAGGGGTGGGGCTCGAACCCAGGATCCCTGGGTTCTGCAGCGCGAGCTTTCGCTCCACGTGCTCCGAGCTGGTGTGCGCTAGACCACTCGGCCACCGATCCCCCCCTGTGTGAAAGGAGTGTTCTTTGGGTGTATGAATGCTTGAATGACAGTTTTTTTAGTGCGCTAAACGTCGACAAACATGAACAACCAACTCGCCCAATCTCAAGTTCTTACAAGTCTCACTGATTTTCAAAATGATACAAACGTGCCAGTGCAGGCGTTTTCTCCCCTAATGTCGGATCAGTTGTAGACAAAAAAAATATTATCAAATTAGGCAAGACTGGAATGCACATACAGTTAAGAGTGACGCAGTCATTCTCTTTGAACTCCTAAAGTTTTATTGTATTTTCCATAAACATTTGACTATAAAAAATACTTCCAAATGATCGTTCGTACAAGAGCTTCTATTCTAATGATTTTTTCTTCGCTTTGTCTGTCCCTCTGTACAGATATGTTTCATAGCCTGGTAGTTTGATAAGAAATTTGGTGCAATACAAATTTCACTCAGCCTAGTCTGTATTACAATAATTTTGTGCACAGTTTTGGACAACGTTGGCATTACGGGTGAAGGCAACTGTACATAGCCGTCAATTAAGTTTTATCCATTAAACATAAAAGGTTGAAAGCATGAACAGGGACACAATGAAGATAGGACTGCGCTATCGCGCAAGTCCTTTCTAAGCCTTTTTTTCTTGTTTTATATGCTTAATCAGCTAGCCCACCTTGATATTTTAGTAGATTTCCTTTCTTTCCTCTTGAAGCTTAACTGCTTTTGAAGGATAAGGCCTCTCTAGGCTCAACCGCCTAATCATTTTTGTTTATGGGTGATGTAAATATCGATTTGTGTAAAAACGAAAAAAAAAACAGCCAGATGGATTAAAAAAGGTCTTGGCTACTGATGCATGTGTTAATACACTAACGCTGCCAACCAGAGTGGCGTCAGATACGGCTAGTTGTCTTGACGTATGCATAACCAACTTAAACACTCACGATACTTCTTCTGGTATTTTTACATATGACATAAGCGACCATTTACCTATCTTAGAGAGCATGCAGCTCTTAGACGCCCGCTTCCGTGTTGAGTGGCGTTGGTGTCGGCGTACTTTCGCGTTGCAATGTGGGACGTCTCTACGCTATAGTTAGAGGGGAAATTTTCCCGCTAGGTTTGGCCTGAGAATTTTCCCTTTAGGTTTAACGTGAAATTTTTCCCGCTAGGTTTAGCGTGGAATTTTTCCCGCTAAATTTACGGGAAAATTTCCCCACTAACTTTAGAGGATTATGCTTCTCCACTAAATTTAGCGGTGAAATTTAGCAAACGTTTCCCGCTAAATGGGATGAGAGCAGGAGAGGAGGACGGGAGGGGGAGGAGGTGCACACCCTCCACTCCTCCTCAGGAGCTTCGCTCTAGTTCGGCATTAAGGCTAGCCCACATGGCGCGCTTTTCTCCGCGTCTGCCTCAGCCCTCGAGTCTCCGGTTGCGCTTTTTGTCACTTTCGGCGCCCGGACGAAACGCAGCGTTTTTTGGCGCATTCCGAAGTATCTGGAGGAGCCAGATATTTTGCTTCCAGGCGTTGCGTCTCCCGCTGCGTCCATCAGGCAACAACCAATGAACGGCCGCGTTCACTAGTTGCAAGGAGCGTTTGAATGTTCTCCACTGTTTTCGCCACTACAGGACAGTATTTTTCGTCACGGACCTTGCGACAATGGCGATAATTATTATAATAATATTTTTTATTTGCACAGATTGTGATGCCCACTTGGCAGCGTGCAAGGCTAGGCAGAAAGGTTGAGACCCTTACGCAGGTGCGCCTGCTAGCCCGTTGCCAAGTGGGGAAATGGATACGGGTGAGGAAAATAAATACAAACACTCAAAACAGAAAGATACACACATAAAAAACGGGTAGCAAACCTGTGCCATTCCAAGGCAGAGCGCGTGCGCGCACGCACGCACGCACGCACGCACGCACGCACGCACGCACGCACGCACACACACACACACACACACACACACTCACAAGCCGAAACACCCGCGCGCGCGGAGTTTACAAACTTTGCACGCCCGCGGCCTTCAATAAAAACGCACCGCCAATGCTCACAGCAGGGCGAACATAGGTAGTTACGCCCCCCCCCCCCCCCCCCCCCCCCCTGCGGACATCAGCTTACCGCACAAGCCCAGGGACTCCTTCCTGCTCCTGGGGAGAAGCTGACGCTCCTTCAGCCGAACAGAGAGGAGTTAGCGAAGTACAAAACCGTCGTGCACCCTGGCAGGCGAAATGTAAAGAACACAAGGACACCGAGAGACAAAGCTACGAACTTAATACTAAAGGCAACAGCCGCAACAATGCAACCCCTGTAGCGGCCAGGGGCCCTAAACTCGTCAAACACAAAGTTCGGGCCGAAGTTGACGGAGCGCACCGATTGGACAACCACGACGATGACTTCGCGTTTTTGTCGCCGACGTCCAACCAGCACGCTCCGCGAACTTTCGGCTCCAACTTTGTGTTTGACGAGTTTAGGGCTCCAGCTGTGAATGTTCTGGAGCTGGAGATGGGGATGCCGATGGCATACCGAAAGGTGGATGAGGCGTACACACTTAAAAGGATGAAAATTAGTGAAACTGGGCTTCATTGCAATTGCTGTAATAAAAATACGTGCTTACTATGAATGAACTTAAATATTACGGCATGTAGCCATCATTTAACGAGCGATTTCTATTTAAGACTTGCTCTTGTTCTTTAAGCGCGTCTGGCTACGTTGGGCAGACGCTTGGCAAACGCAGACTCGCCGCTGCCCGGTGCGCTGCGTGTGGTTTGACTGGGCACACGCGTCTGGCTTAGCGCGCGCGCCAAGCCGAGACGCGCGTCTAGACGCCGGGAAAAACGCGCCATGTGGGCTAGCCTATACAGAGAATCGTAAACCTCTTCCATTTTATGACATCATTCTGCAAAAAGAAAGGATGCCACAACTTAACGTAACAATTTTAGCTGCAAAAGAATATTCACTGATAAAGTGTCGGGACCTCTAAATATAGGGTGGCTCAAGTCACCAGGCTCGATCTAAAATGGACCGTAAAAATCGACGCGTGCACGTAGCAATCTAAACTTTTTGTCAAGGGTGTATTTCACAGGTCGGGTTTTTCTTGTAAAATTACAAAGCGTAGTTCTCTTTCTGTAAAAAATAAGGCCAAGAAACTTGCCTGGGTCAACGGCGGGCAGCAACGCAGACGACAGGGGTCCAGTAGTGGGGTGTGTTTGGCGTTCGTATTGATAGATGGCGCTACCTCCTAATCGCGACGGCTCGCGACCACCGTGGTTTATTAAAATGAATATAATCTTCTTTTGAAATATACCTTCGGTTAAAAAATGAATGCGAATAATAAAAGCAAAACTTAAAGTAAAAAACGCGTCTGCATAACGGCGGCGCTTTTGCTGCCAACGGATTTCGTCTGCGTGTCGTCTGCTATCTTTGGCTGGTCGGCTGCACCTTCAGACGCTGCTCCCGACGCCATCTACCAATACGAACGGCAAACACAGCTCGCTACTGGACTTGGTCGTCTGGGTCACCGCCCGCCGTAGACCCTGGCAAGTTTCGTGGC